CGTATCGTATCGTATCGTATCGTATCGTATCGTATCGTATCGTATCGTATCGTATCGTATCTTACAGTTTACTTTGAAGAAGTCCATCGGAAACTAAAAGTCTAAAACACTCTAACAGGTCTTAAATGAGACGAGTTCATGTTAACATCAGGACAAGTCAGGCTCTAAACAAAGACTTGAAATAGTGCTGAAACATGTCTAGTACATGTAGACCCATACCTATAAGGTAACATTATCAGGACAAAAATGATTCTTTAAATCCCTGCTGACGCTGATTTCCCATGTTTTGCACACTCCTACCTCCTCGACTGTGTTGTGAGGCGACAGCAGGACTGATGTTGGGTGAATGGAGCAGACCTCATTCAGACGTCCCTCCAGTTTCTGCACAAAAGCAGCTCATAAGTAATAATAAACATTCATGACACGAGGCAGCATTACTCGTCGTTTCTATCCCCCTGAAAAACGCTTCCTGTAATTAATTCCCGACTGAAGCTGCAGTCCAATTTTTTGATAAGCAGTAGCATTTATCCAAAGTATTTTTCTGAGCAGATGGATTTTAGCTGTAATAAAATAAGCTTCTGTGTCGGTCAGAAAGCAAACCTGTCTGAACAGCTTTTTATTTTTTTTTACCAAAAGGATTTGAAAGGCAGAGAGTGTTTTCTAAGCAGCTACTTTTCAGACAGTCCTCCTGTTACCTGAGTCTTACAGCGGTGCAAGAACGTCTGCAGCTCCGATCGCAGAAYGAAACCCAGTAAAATCTGCGACTCTAAAACGAAACAAAAGAAGAAACAGTATRAGTTTCTTTGCCAGAGTTACAGTTTTAGGTAAAAGGGTAGCAGTTGAGTGCATGTGAGTCACAGACATTCATCCATATGATTGGTGCTGAAACACTCAGGTGGCAGACCATTTTCTCAAAATTGTCACCTTTCCACCTTTGAATTGCTTCAGCCTAAGAACATTTTTCAACCCGTCTCTGTTTCTTTGCTCTTTTTGTACCGATTCAAAACTCAGTCAAAGAAACCTGAATATGTTTGTGACGTTTCCTTTAATGATTTTAATGGCTTCGTGTCCATATTTTACTGTCTGGACTTCCCTTTTTTTGGTGAAAGAATTAGGTTGCTATACTGAAATCTAGACATGTTGGCATACCGTGCGAGTCCACCACAGGGATTTGTGCTTCAGTGCTGTGTTTGACAGCACACAGAACCTCTGCTGGTCCAGCTGCTTTCTGAAGCTGCACTGATTTCTCTCCCAAAACCTGCCCGAGTGGAGTGGAGGGAAGTCTGCAGAGAAAAACAAAAACCAGCCACAAATAAATTCTAGTCCATCTTAGCTTGTGAGTGACTCTCAACTTTTAGCATGATATCTATACAACCGACTGCATTGTAGCTAATTTTGTGTTTCCTAATGTCAGTTGGCTGTGGCAGCCATCTTGAATGAGCTTGGCCTGGACACATAAATACAATCAAAACACTGCAGAGTTACTTSATCGAGTAAATAATGATCAAATTATCTGAGTTGGCAAGAATTCTGACGTCCATCCACTCTATGCTTCTCCCTTCAGGGGAGCTGACGTCTGTGTCTAACAGTCACTGTGTGAGGGGTTAGTTAGGGGGTGGCTCACTCAGGATAAGTCCTAARTTCAGGGCCGGCTCTAGCTAATGTGGTGCCCTAGGCAAGATTTCAGGTGGTGCCCCTTGTGCAATTTTTAAAATCTCACTGCCAATTTACATACATTCATATGCAAAATGAAATAGTTTTGCCTTTGATGTTTTTTGTCCAATTAAAATAATATAATTCATTGAAAACAGAATACCAGAAGTCTACCTCACACCTGCCAACATCTGCTGACAGCAGCGAGGAACACCTGTTCGTGTTAACCAGCAGCTGTGGAGTGAAGCAGTTCTAGGGGGGTCCAGAGGTATACGCCACCAGAAAACTTTATGAAAGATCTACTCATTTCATTTTCCTGCCTTTTGAAGAGTTTTTGGCTAAATTCTTGAGATTAATGAAACAAGATAATGTGCAAATTTCCCTAGCNACAGTCTAAATGCAGTTAAGGCCAAAATGAATTGTTAAAACAACTCAGAAACAACCTAAACTCTTAAAACAACCCATCTTAAAAATGTAGCAGGATTATGATGACGAGCTACTGGCTTGTTCAAAAATACTTGAAATACATTTATTGTAAATGTGTGTTTTGTGTGGGAATGCAATGTGACTGTTGTGGTTTTGAACTGTGTAGCAGTCAGGGTCTGTACCAAAGACAAATTTCCTTCGGGACAACAATGTTTATCTTATCTTATCTTATCTTATCTTATCTTATCTTGTAAAATTTGTATTTTATGAAGGTAGAACCTAAACTTTATCTGAAATTACATTTAACATTATTTAGTTGTCTATTTACACACCGAACACCAGTAGTTAGTTTTGACTGCATCATATAATACGTTTATCGCAAAATATCCTCTACATCACATAACCTCATGTGGTAACAAAGCAATTGAAAAACCCACAGAACAAATTACCTTCAAAAACATGAGTAACTGGTGATTATTATGCAGAGTAAATCAACTGTATTTTAAGAAAATATGTTTTTTCTTCCTGTTTGTGGCGCCTCCTAGATGGACAGAGCCCCTAGTATTTGCCTATACTGCCTATGCCACGGGCCAGTCATCACAGGGACAAATGAGACACAAATATTCACACACAATTACACCTAGGGACAATTTAGAGTTACCAATTAACCTAACGAGCATGTGTTTGGTTTGTAGGAGGAGTTCGGAAAACCTTGAGAAAACCTACGTGTGAACAGGGTGAACAAAGTCAGCACATCGATCATAATGGGGCAACCAACACCTCAAACAATGACATAATCATTCTAACAAATCACATATAAAGACCTGATTTAGTGTTCCTCAGGTTAATAAAATCACAACTCATAGTTTTAATATTTACTTTGATTTGTGGATTTATACACTTTACAGYAGTATACAGCATGTTGACTAGAATCTTCCAAAGCTACATTCCCATTTGGCTCTTCCTCTGCTTCACTTGTGATACAGAGAGACAATTTTCACTGTAATTGTGCGTCATTTTCTCCAGACTCTGTGCTTTCATTTTGTTTCTACTCACTCAGGACATGCCTTCTTCAGTGAGGGCAGGTACGGGAGCCTCTTGCTGATGGACAGGGTGTCGTAGAGGGAAGGGTTGTGTCCAGATCGGGCCAGGCCGTTGGCCAGCAGCGCGGACAGAAGGATGGGGACAGCGTGGCTGAACTGACCCGTTAACTCCACAGCCAGCAGAACCGGGGACAGAGTGTGAGTCACGGCACCAGAAAGGGCAGCAGCTCCTACAAGGCAAATGCCAAACTTACTGTAGATGATGGAAAACAAATGTATTTACATCTTTTTAGGATCCCATAAAGGACATTTTTCATTTTGTCCTGATAAGAAAAACCTTAGAATTAGATTAAAACACAAGTGAATAAGTTAAAAAGACTCTACTTTCACTCACATTTTTAGCTCAGTAGTTATAAAAACTGATTGAGTTGTTGTTTATTAGCTGTGGTGAGCATCTGGAAATAAACTGACTCATTATTCAGTTGTAGATGTACATCCAGTTGTTCATGGGATATTTTTGGTTTCACCCCCACCACCTCACACAATGCGTAGCTCTTGAAGTATAAGTTGTAAATGAGTCTCAGCTACAAACACACCAAGTTTTAGCAAAATACATGCAAATTTGATCGCATTTTAACCATTTTTTTGTCTTTTCCGAGGGCAGCTGTGGCAGCCATCTTGAATTTGGTTGGTTTCAAATGTTAATCAGATGTAATCCATCTATTAATTTCCTGGAAGTTTCAATAAAATAAGTGGTTCAGAAGATATTTTGTTATCAGACAGGCAGTGTTAACTCCCAATACGTGAAACAAAAGTCTTGAACAGTTTGGTAGTGCTACTGGAGATCAGCCTCAGCTATTACAACACCAAACATTAGATCAATATCTGTAGATTTGACTGAATTACTGTCGATTTTTTAAGGTCGATAACTTTAGACACTCTATCGTGACTTTTCTTGGTCGGAGAGAGCGGCCATATTGTTAAGGGTGAGGTCAGGTCAACTCAACAGAGGCTACGGTTACCTGGTAAAGCTGAATGTGGTAACATGATATGTTAAATTTGGGTAAAAACATCACGGAAACACAGTTTGATATTGACAAACAATATGTTAATTTGATAGAAATAATTGTAAGTACATATTAAGGGTAGTGCCTCGTTATGGCTGCAGGACCTGGGGCACCTGTTCTCCCATGTTTGTTTGTTCTTTGTTGGTCTCTCTTGAACGGGCTGTTCCTGTAATTTCCCTTTATGGGATCAATAAAGTAAGAAAGAAAGTAAGTAAGTAAGTAAGTAAGTAAGTAAGTCAGTAAGTACCTATGTATGTAAGTAAGTAAGTAAGTAAATAAGTAAGTAAGTAAGTAAG